GGGCACGCGGTGGGTAAGGACTAAGCTCTGTAGCGTCAGCACTTGCTGACACACGGTGATCGAGTCGACATTAGTCGGCACAGGCCGGGCTCCCCCATAGCCTGGGCGAAGCTCAGCTTCGCATATCGGACTTATCCTTATGCATGGCATACATACGGCGTATACATCATACAGACACAGACCACGTGGCACAATAAACTTATAGGCCTACAGTCACATAACATTAGTAACATTTAATGTATATGATTATATTGCCAAACATGCATTAATACATAGAAATTGAGTTTGATAAATTAAAGAAAATTATTACAATATCTATAGTAGAATAATAACATAACCTTTACAAATAAATGGCCGAAATAAACATATTTATTTCAATTCTTTGCATTGCGACCGCATGATTTTGAGATTAATTTCCCCATTAAAAAGTTTTAATGTTTGATTAGGGAACTGTCCCCTAATCCCCTTTCCTAGGAGCTGCTTGGAATGCATCTGCTACACCTTGTACACTCTGGCTAGGAGCTCGAAACAGGCCACCCGTCGTTGCCCTGTTAACATTTGAACTTATTTTACTTTTTCTATATTTCTGTTTGTTCCTATTATACAGATCTACCACGTAATGATGATTGTTCAATAAATATATATGCTGATTTTGGTGATAACTATAATCTAACTCAAAATCAACCTGACATAGTTTTTTTCACTCTATTGATATCAAACCTGTCAGCTTAAGTCAAATTGTAGCTTAAGGCTTGCACTATATTATTAAGTAGATTTTTGGCCTCTACTTCTTTAGACGGGTGTCATGACTTGACACTTTTACCCATAAAAATAATTCCTTGTGATCCAATTTATTTGCTTATGTCAATCTGAACGTCACATATCTTAGGTTATATTTAAAAAAGCATGAATATTACAAACATTTCTTTTTTCCTTGGAAAAAAATATGAAATATAAGTTATTTATTCTCTTCTTTTTGCTTTTTACAAGCAGAACAAGGATAAGACTTTTCTGACAATGTCGGAACAGTCATAACAATTTTCGTGCTTCTATGTAAACAAACAGACGGGTATGAGATGACGTCACGAGATGCTCACTAACGCCATCTATTGCGCCGACGCCGCATTACTCACAGGATCTTGCTCGACTTTCCGCTCTTTCGTAGATAGTCTTTGGTTTACATATTCAAAATATTTCCCTTACTCATGGTATTTCTCAGTACTATTCCTTTTACTTGCGTCATTGGGGCATACAATCAAAGAGTTGGTCCCGGGCATCACTCTGCACGCCACAGAACGTTGCTGTGTTTATAACCCTTACAATACATAAGTGATACATACATAGGTGACCCCCGAAGAGTCCTAAGATTGACATATATTTCCCTTGTTAGGTCCATGACAGACCATGCGGACCCAGTTCATAGTATGTTGCCACAAAGCGCTCTCAAACCCTTTGAAGTCTTACCATAAGAGTCATTCTTGGTTATCCAATGACTGTCAAGACCTTGGCACGAGGAAAGAGCTAGACTTTCCTTCATTTCATAGTCATGTTACCCAGGTTAGCACCATACCTGGCATCAGACTTCTGCAACATTAATCCAGACCATAAATTTCTCTTGTTTTGTCTGCGATTAATTATAGACTTAGGCATGCCCGGCGGCCTCTATACTCCAGTTTCATAAAGTCCAACTTAGAATGGAAGGCCAAAACTGCCCAGACTATTCTCATCTGAAGTGTGTGTGAAACGTTGATGCTATTGACATCCCATGTTTATGTTCATATTGAGAAAAGAACAGGGCTTAAATACTCTCTCTCTATCTCCCTCTATCTGTATTATCAATCTCTATCTCCCCCCCCTCCCCTACTCTCTCTCTCTCTCTCTCTCTCTCTCTCTCTCTCTCTCTCTCTCTCTCTCTCTCTCTCTCTCTCTCTCTCTCTCTCTCTCTCTCTCTCTCTCTCTCTCTCTCTCTCTCTCTCTCTCTTTCTCTCTCTCTCTCTCTCTCTCTCTCTCTCTCTCTCTCTTCTCTCTCTCTCTCTATCTCTATCTCTCTCTCTCGTTTATGTCTTTCCACATCTTTCCGCACGTCCGTGAAACTGATGCACGGAAAAGAAAAGATCTGTCGCACTTGGAACAACCTCGGCGCGCTATTTGTTCCATGCGTTCTGCAGAGGAGTATTTAAATTACCACCTGTCTTAAGATGGTATGAAACTTTCTTTGAAATTATGTTAATGTGTGTGAATATGTATATATATATATATATATATATATATGTGTGTGTGTGTGTGTGTGTGTGTGTGTGTGTGTGTGTGTGTGTGTGTCTACTCATTTACCTATTCTTATACATATGTATTTATTCATTCGTTTATAATATATATATATATATATATATATATATATGTGTGTGTGTGTGTGTGTGTGTGTGTGTATCTATATATGTATATATATACATATATATGTATATATGTATTTATATATGTATGTTTATGTATATGTATGTAT